TCACATCACATCACATCACATCACATCACATCACATCACATCACATCACATCACATCACATCACATCACATCACATAATATAAGATAATATAATATAATATTTTGGAATTACTATTATAGCATATTCCTATAATTTCTATGTCACTTCAATTCATTGATGCAGGACTTTCCAAGAGTGTCTTCACGAGACGGCACAATTTGCATGGTTTCGAACTTATCTTCAAGAACAGTCATCGGAAACTCCTCTTCTCTTCTGGGAAGCTGTTGAAAACATGAAGAATAATTGTAAAGATGCCAAGTCTCGACGGGGCAGGGCCAACGTCATCGTGAGGAAGTATTTCATCAACATTGAGGTGCCTGCTAGTAAGTATCTTCTTTCCTGCACTAACGCATGTGATAACGATAACCACACATGTGTTTATTGCTTCTTGAGTTTATCACTGAACAACTATGACAACATATGGTAGCGGTCACCATGAGAAGGATGACAATTATGGTGGTCATGAGGATAATGATTATGATGATGATGATTGTGATGGTGATGATGGGGATACTGTTGCTGATGATGATGATGGTAATGATGATGATTGTGATGATGATGATTGTGATGATGATGATGATTCTGATGATGATGATGATGATATTGATGATGATGATGATGATATTGATGATGATGATGATGATGATGGTGATACTGTTGCTGATGGTGGCGATCTTCATGTTCATGGCGATTACGATGGTCACGATGACAGTGATAATATTATTGCCTAGTGATGATTAAAATGATGACGATGATGGATAATAATTTATGATTTATAATAATATCAAAAAGTTAGAAATACCACACGATTTGTAGTTTGTTGACCATTGATCTTCCTTGACCCATAGCATTACTATATATTTTTCTACCAAACAATTTCTACGTAACCCTTTTTTAATAGAAACTTGAGAAAATAATTTTATATATTTCTTAAAGCTGAGAATCTACAATGCAAAGCGGACATCATTCGGGATATTCCTGTATTAGACAAGGTCACACCACCCATGCTAATCTCTGCTCAAACCTGTGTGGCCAGAACACTGGAGGAGCAATGGTAAGCAGATGTTTTTTGTAAGCGAACAATAAAAATGCAAATATATAGAGAAATAAATCAATAAATTTGAAGAATAAACACGAGCAAACGAGCGAACGATCAAACGAGTAAACGAGCAAACGAACGAACGAACGAACGAACGAACAAACGAACGCACGGACGCACGGACGCACGGACGCACGGACGCACGGACGCACGGAATCCACGTAACTGTGGATTAATTCCGTATACGAACCACCAACAGCTTTCTTGTTCCGTAACCCCCAGCAGCGTTCTGATTGAATATTCCTTTATTTTAGGTTTCGTAAATATGTGGGCACATTCCCTGAAGAGGACCACAGTGAAACCTTAAACAAGTACGCCATGAGAAACACACTTGCTGGAGTGGCCAAGATAGCGGCTCACGGAAAGACGGTCAGTTATATGTTCAAGCGATTGTCCTATCCGTTGTTGCTCCAAGGTTCTTATACTAGGATTCAAAGGTGGAGTAGCAATAGTACCCTCGCCTCTCATCTCTGGGGTTTTGGGTTGGATTTCTGAACTCGGCAACACATGCATGTTTGTGAGGTCTTTCTCTTGATTCAAAGTTTTTTCCAGGTTCTTAAGTTTTCCCCTTTCCGCCAAACCTAACAATTTAAATCCCAATTTGATCTGTCAGTTAGTCATGCCCCAACTTTGATCTGCCCATAGGTTATTTCAGGTCTCGATCTGTAAGTTAGCTTGTTCCCTGACTTAGTTCAGCCCAGAGGTTGTTTCAGGGTTCAATCTGTGAGTTAGCGATGCCCTGACTTAGATCAGCCCAAAGGTTGTTTCAGAACTCGATCTGTGAGTTAGCCGTTCCCTAACTTACATCAGCCCAGAAGTTGTTCGTATCTATAAAATTTGAATCAACTAATTTTTTTTTAATCAACAGCGCGRTTTGTGGGCGATGTTTGCAAGTAACGTTAGAAGTTTCCAGAAGGGAATAAACACCATTAAACTGGAAAGAGAATTCATTGATTTTCTCAAAAAGGAAAAAGAGATTACCATAGAACACAGTAAGGATGCCATCCATACAGACTATTATATATCCACCTCATTCATCCTTCCAGCCCCAACTTGCCATCCACCTCATCTCATCCAATCTCATCCAAGCCATCTCATCTCATTTCATTTCATCTCTTCTCATCTAAATCCCTTCCCATGTCACTTAATTTCATTCTATCTCATACCCTCTCATCCCATCTCATCTCATCCCATCCCGTCCGATCCATGTACCTGTTGTGGGCCAAATTGGAAGCCAGATAGTTTAAGTAATGAATTTGTGTCTATCTCACCGTAAATAGGTTTGCTTATATGTTTATGTATACCCAAAGAGCGCAACAAAAAGACAGAGAAAAAAGGCATATCCCCCCCTCCCCAGCTCTTCAAAATATTGACCCAATGTGAGTTTCTCAAAAATGTTTTCATCTAAACTTTGAATTATTTTTCAGACAACCGGAGACATGCCTTAAACCCAACAAAAAGAATGATCAACAACAGGTCCATCGCCACAGAGAAACTGGTGAATGACTTGGCATTCTGGAAAGAAGTTCTCAAGTACGTCTCACTTTTCCTTTGTCCATTCGTTATGATTATGTTTATTTAACCCACGGTCTGCTCTCTCTCTTTGACCTTGTGGCTCAGCGGACAGAGTATCCGCAATATAGTTAAACCACTGTAGTTAAATCACCCACCCACCCCAACTCTCCGTCTCGTTCGCCACCGACCCCCAAGGAGAACCTCTTTTATGAGCACGAATGTGAGATGCATGCTGTGGTGCACGACTTCCCTTGGCCCTAAACAACTAGCTCACGGTCATGGTTGGTCGTTTACTGCAGCATGCAATGCTTCCAAGAATAAAAGAAGACAAAGGATCAGGAAAACGTCAATTTTATCCAATGCCCTAAGCAACTAGCTCACGGTCATGATTGGTCGTTTACTGCAGCATGCAATGCCTCCAAGAATAAAAGAAGACAAAGGATTAGGAAAACGTCAATTTTATCCAATGCGAGATGCATACTGTGGTGCACGACTTCCCTTGGCCCTAAG